TCTTTAGTCGTCTAAAATTCTATTTGCAATTTAGTAAAGAAATTTGAATAAAACATTTTATTGAATAAAATACATTTTATTCAGAGAATGTGGAGTTTTATAAAAGCATGCTTCTGATAGAATATGATTATACAACAGCTTGTGCTTCTTTAATGTGATTATTTTTTATTTTTTAGTTTTCTTTTTAACTGATACAATTTCTATAATATACATACGTATGAACAGATTTGGAATAAAGTACTTATCAATTTCTTAAATATATTTTTTATAAATATTAATAAAAATGCGTAGTCAACATTTTTAAGCATCTCTCACATCATTGTAAATTTCTCAACATCTTATATATCGTCTTAATCCTAAAAGTAATTTTCTAATCACCTGTCTGTGAATGACCGAATGTTACCTGTCTGTGAATGTTACTGTGAATGACCGAAATCTGGAGAATGTCGACTTTCACCAGTGAATGTCAACAATCACATAGTACAATGTATGGTCAGTTCACACATTTTAAATAAAAGCTGATGGGTCAGTCACTATGTATGTTCACACATGTTAAATAAAAGCTGATGGGTCAGTCACCATGTATGTTCACACATGTTAAATAAAAGCTGATAGGTCAATGCACTGCCACTATATCCATTATCAAAGTCCCCCAATAAATCAATATACTATCTATTCCGATCGCCCTCTACTGTAACAACCATTAGAGTGATAAAGATTTCCAACAATTTTCGTGACGGCTGCTTGCATGTCTCTTTACGCCGAAAAGCACAGATCTTCGCAAGAAAAGAAAAAAAAAATCTGTATTCAAGGTTTCCATAAAATTGAACCGAGGGACATTAAATCGAATGTGAAGGGAACGCCTTTCCTTTTCTCTCTGGTCCCTTTTGGAACATTTCCAAACGATCACGAGAATAAAAACAAAACAAAAGAATATGGTAATATAATAAAAAAAAATGACCATCGGGCAGCTGATCGACTAGGACTGGGAGGGTGGGTTTGGGTATTGGAAGCATTCTAATCAGCTTGGAAAGGCATTTCGAGCAGTGTGTATTGAGAAACCGGGCAATGCGGTGTTTGTCGCCTGCTCGTCGTCAGGCAAACTCAATCTTTTATGTAGAAAAGAAAGTGCCGGACACTCGGACAACACCAGCATGGAAAGAGGCCTCTCATTCCGTTCGATGGGGTGAGTTGTTTTTATTTGTTTTGTTTCATGAGGCTATCAGATAGTATTTTTGAAACTGACAGATGAGATCTAAGAGTTAGCATTTTTTCTGTAAATTTGAAAATACAGAAAAGAATGAAATAGTCTCATATGTTATTTGAACTATAATACCTTTTTATTTATATTTAATAGTTTAAAATTATGTTTTAATGCAATGTTACTCATTAATACCTTAAAAAAGTTATTTAATTGTAGACGCAATTAGTATTGTATTATTTTTGCGAATTTATATATTTTTGAATTATATTTAATGTCATTTTAAGGAGCTGTTAATAATATATAAATTTTATTTATATGTAAGTATATAAGTAAAATTTGAATAAAAATTTGATTAAAAATTTGAATAAAATTTATAAATACTTTACTAGTTAATTTCGAATTAAAAGTTATCTATTTGAAATTATGAACAAAAATCAAACCATTTTGTACTCAATTTATATTTTCAAATAGCTAAAGAAAGTTTATAGATTTTACAAAAGCATTTTATATTGTTATTAGGACATAAATATTTTGCTAGCTAATTGTGAAACAGTAAAGTTATGCATTTGAAATTATGAATAGAAATCAAATCATTTTGCACTTAATTTATATTTTTTCAAATAGCTAAAGAAAGTTTAGATATTTTACACATTCTATATTGCATTATTCATAAGAATTCCTGTATTTCTGAACTAATGTTTTGATGCCATTTTAAAGAATTGTAATACAAAAGTTTCAGTTCTTTATATTAAGAAAGTAAATAAGAATGATAAAATACTTCATTAATGCAAGAATTTAACGAAAAACATCTTCCGTTTATTAGTTTTTAAATTTTTTGTGAACTTTTCGCAAATTAATTTTAAAATTATTTATTAAAGGCATTTGTATTGAAAAGAATAAGATTTGGAAGTATATTTAATGTATTATTTTAAAGATCACTTATTATTAAGTAATATTTTTACCAATGATAACTGTAATTAAAAACTTATAGTAGTTGCTCTTGTAATTGATAATTCGAATAATAGTTCGAATTATGTGAGAAACGTCGCCTCTTTTATCCATTGTACCAATTTAAAGCTTACTATTCTCACTTATTTCCCTGTGTTTGATTATAACACCAACGAAAATTAAACCAGGTAATAATTGGACTGGTCATTATGAGTTCACTATTACTTACTCTTCTAAAATAAGTTTTTTTTTAAATAGCATTATAGTAGACAATTCCGTTTTGTGATTTATTTACAACAACAATATGGTTAAGTTTGTCGTTGATCGATAATTTTTAATTGTGAAAAATTGAAATAAAATATCATCTTATTACGATTTGGTATTATTTTTATCACTTGATATTATTTGTTTTATCTTTAAAACGATTAAAGTTGTAATGGTCATTTAGAACAACGGATTCTCGGTAATAAAGTATTGTAACAATTTGTTTGGTACTACTTTACATTATTTGTTTTATCTTTAAGACTTTTAAAGTTGTTACGGTAATTTAAAACAACGGATTTTCAGTAATAAAATATTGTAACAATTTGTTTGGTATTACTTTACATTATTTGTTTTATCTTTAAGACTTTTAAAGTTGTTACGGTAATTTAAAACAACGGATTTTCAGTAATAAAATATTGTAACAATTTGTTTGGTATTACTTTACATTATTTGTTTTATCTTTAAGACTTTTAAAGTTGTTACGGTAATTTAAAACAACGGATTTTCAGTAATAAAATATTGTAACAATTTGTTTGGTATTACTTTATATTATTTGTTTTATCTTTAAGACTTTTAAAGGGGTCATGGTAATTTAAAACAACGGATTCTCAGTAATAAAATATTGCAACGATTTGTTTGGTATTACTTGATATTATTTGTTTTACCTTTAAGACTCTTAAAGTTGTTATGGTAATTTAAAACAACGGATTCTCAGTAATAAAATGTTGTAACAATTTGTTTGTTATTACTTGATATTATTTGTTTTATCTTTAAGACTTTTAAAGCTGGTATGATCATTTGGAGCAGTGTTTACCAAACTTATGACTTTTGAGTACCCTTTCTAAATTTTTCGAAACGCTGTGTACCACAAATAAAAAATGAATGCATTTTTTACTACAAAAAAATTACGCAAAAGTTAAAAATCACAAATGGCTGTTGACACAACTAATTGTTAACTGCTAACTCTGCAAAAAATAGCCAATAGAAAAATACGTAATCGTAAATTTTCATGACTAGCTTTGCTTTTAAATAAAATATTCGAAATTTTCGTTTGCTGCAAGATATTTCGCATAAGAGCGCGTACCCCCGCTAAACTACTCCCGTACCCCTGGGGGTACGCGTACCACACTTTGGGAAACACTGATTTAGAGCAACGGATTCTTAGTAATAAAATATTGTAACAATTTGTTTGTTATTACTTGACATTATTTGTTTTATTTTAAAACTTTTAAAGTTGTTATGGTAGAACAACGACATTTAGAACAACGGTTTCTCAATAATAAAATATTGTAACAATTTGTTTAAAAATAAAACAGCTTGATTTAATAAATGACTGTTTAACTTCACTTTTTAAATTTTTAATTAATCAAATTAATTTATTTATTCCTCTCATAAAGGCTTAAATAAAGAAAGTTATCTTGCTGAATATCATTTATATTTAAGATATCTTAAGTAAATTCTTCAAAATTTCATTTTTTTTTCGTGTTTGGTACACGGAGAAAAAAACTGCTAAAATTACCACATTGTATGGCGATGACATTTCTTATTTAAAAAAGCACATTTCTGGTGATAAAACTAAAGTATAACCATTTAGTAATTTGCTTCGTTCATATGGTAACGGCTTACCGGACATTTTGATTTTCAAAATAATAATTCTGATTATCAAAGATTTTATAAAATTTTTTTTTTAAAAAACTAACTAGTAAATTTAAACAAATAAGTGGTTTTAATGCCAAGCTCTAAGAAATCATATTAAAATGTCTAAATTTAGCCACATTTACTAAATTATACCCCATTTTATAACACAATATTTTATGGTTAATTTTACAGAAAATTAACTAAAAATTAAATAAAAATTAAATTTAAATTATCAACGTGCTTCAGTAAAAATAATCAATCTATTGGAGCTCCCATGGAGCCAAAAACACGGTATAGTCTGGTAGCTTTGACAATATAATTTTTTCTCAGTGTACTAAATAAAGTCAGACGAAAACGTTGGGATGTTTGAGGCATTTTTTTAAAAAAAAACCATCACTTAAATATAATAATGCATTAATTGAGTAATTAGTATGTTTTGCATTAATTTAGTAAATAATGCAATATAATACTAATATAATAATGTAATATATTAGTAATATATTGCATTATTATTATTTATTATTATATTTCGATAAAATATTATTGTTATTGCATTAAATATTATGATTTACTATTACTGTATTGTACTGAAATTTACATTAAAAAATACTAAAATATAGAACATATTTCTGAATTAAAAAGTGATTGTACGTGATTGATATTTTAATTGAACCATTTGTTATTAATGCATGATAAAATGATATCCTTGAAAAATTTCTTTTACCCATTTCATTCATTGACAAAATGAAAGCCAATTGACCTTACGCGCTTTGTTTCATCTGTGAAATAAATCTATCGAGCATGAAAGTAATGTTAAAAATGGAAGAAAAAGAAGGTTAGCACTATTTCATTCATTGTTACAGTTTTCGTGAAAACGCTTTTCATAAGCCTGGTTAGGGTGAAATGATATGAAAGATCAAATGAATAATCACGTCGTATAAAATATTTATGGCTTTCTTCTAGAATTTATTGAAATAAAAATAGTCTGGTTTGTGTAGAAAATTAAAACCCAGTTCTTTCTCTTTGTTTTCAAGGGAAAAAAATCTAATCATTTTATGATATTCTACACAAAATTGCATGAGAAAAATTAATTGAGTAATTAATTAATTTAAAAAAAAGGAAATAATTCATATTTTATCAATTTTTTTCTCCATTTTAACTATTTAAATGTGTTCCATTGAACTTAGTCAAAGTGCTACACTGTAAAAAAAATCCATTGAATATATGGGGCAGCTACGGTACAAGAAGTTTTAAAAAAACGCTTCTTAATATTTCGGAAATCTCTTTTCTGTCTAAGCTACCCTCAATGTCAACAGTCATTTATCAAAGGGTATTTTAAGATAGAATCGAGTTAATGCGTCATATAATAGTTAATTGGAATTTAATAGTAATAGTGGAAGCTATGCTAAATTACTTCTCCACCAGAATTTCATCTGCGATAGAATTCGATGAATAATACTAACAGATTAATTGCTGTTTTGTGAGAGGCTGGGAGAGCTGTATTATGATCACCGGGGTTTGAGTGCTGGTTGTCAGAGCTGTTTTAGAAGTACTGATGCGGGGGTAGTCTCTCCTGTGTTGCAATTAGAAGTTGAGTGTGTAAAGGCCCCTGTTGTGTGTTATCGAGACTAAGTAGCAACAGCGTGAGGTGGAAAATGTCGCAGTCACGAACCATCCATCGAACTATGTGTGTTTAAATCGAAGTTGGTGTTATAGTCGAGGCATGCGTGTTCAGATCACGTCCGCGAGTCACTCATGTGGGGCTAGGCTACCGACAATATCAACCGTCATCAATCCAAAGGTACCTCCTGATAGGATCAAGTTAATATGTCTTACATACTAGTGAATGGGAATTTAATAGCTGTAGTGGTAGCTACGGTATACTCTGATACTAAATCGGCGTCAATGCGATTCAATTTCCTACTTTTGAAAATGAATGGAATGTTTCTAAATTAATTGTAAACATGATATTAAAGGAAGTTTTCTGAGATTTTCGGAAACATTTTTGTCGAGTCAAAATTAGTTTCTGAATTTTTTTACAGTGCACTAATCCGGAAAAGATGAAAAATATAGTAATGAAAAAATGGAAAGTATAAAAATGGAAAGTAGAAAAAATGACAGTGGAAAAAATT